CTTCCGAGCCTTCATTCACATAAATTCAAAAGCTATTATTATCTATATCCACCTGTTCTTCAAATACCCAATTCTCCAGGTGCCTTAGAAATGTAAAAGAACAAACACTTTCTTCAAATAAAACAGCCAATTAGTTACCTGTTCAACTGGGTTAACTTCAGTGGCAACATTAGTTACTGCAAAATGAAATCGAGGCCTACCCTTTCTTCCTTGAATCCCAATTCATCCGTACAGTTTCCTCCCATAACCCTGGCCTGTACCACCATTACAAAAACTGTAAAATCTTAGTCCATGGAAAATACATTGATAAAAGAAAAGTACATGGTGGGATTAATTGGATAGAGAATTGCACCTGGGTTGATGGAGATGGAGGGAAAAACAGGCTTTGAGGAAGGAGAAACGAGAGACCGAGAAGCTAAGATTGCATTTAAGGCTCCAGGCACGGAAGCCATTGACGCCTGCAACTGTGTTTTTGTCTTCTTTTACCAAGTGAGTGTTGTGCGTCTGCCTGTTACAGTGTTCTGCGATTTGCTTGAGTCGTGGAGCTTGACTTGCTTTCTTATTGGTTTGTTAGGTTGCGGATAAGAAGATAGATTTTCATTCTTCCCTTGCCTAAGATTTTTGTCATCTTGTTCAAATAAAAATAAAATCAAAATTTTTTTTATATACGACTTCAATTTTGATTTTAAATGGGTATCTCGTAATCAATTTCTTTTAATTGAATAAAGTGAAATCTCATCTTAAAATACAAGACAAGAAATCTTAATTACTTGTCGTATATAAAAATTCATCTTAAATTATATTATGAATAAAATTTGATTGGATTCGAAAAAAATTAAATTATTAACTTATAATGATTGATATTTATACATCTCCTAATTAAATTGCAAACTATCCAACTAATCGTACAATAAATTACTAACTATTGTAACTAAATCATACTTAAACATATTAGATAAACTAACAGCCAAAATTTATTTAACAAATTCCAACAACTATAGTTTGAGTAAGGATTAAAATTGCAAGGATTTAAAAAGATGGAAGATTATAAATGACCAAATCCTAGCATACGGACTAGATCTATAACTTTTGCATAGTATAGACACTAATAGAAGAATTTGACCTAACAAACGGTAACTTGAAACTGTCCTCGTGGCTCCACGCGCTACCGCCTCTTCTATTATGGAAGCTATAGTCCTATAAATACGGAGCTCATTTGAACACAAGGAAAACCAAATCACCAAAAGCTCACGTTTTCCTTCTCTACCTCAAACATTTCATTCGCCAATTTTCTTTCCATCCAAACAGCCTCTTTTTCTCACAATTTCTCACTAAGATTGACGAAGCAAGTCTCCTCTCTTTCTCTAATACTTTAGAATGTAGAGGTGTCCTGGTAAAAAAAAATGTAGAGGTGTTCATAAATTGGGTCACGGAATGGTTTTAAAAATTTCATGGTCCCAGATTAGGGCTTACTCAATCTTACCTGTTTAGATACTTTTTTTTTAAATGTCTATAGTTTCGCATTGTCTGAGATGAATCATTTTCTTTCAAATTTTAATGATATGGAGATTGAGAAGAAGAATAAAAATTGTATATCTTGATTCTACGCTAATTAAATAATAGATATTGTAGATTAGAGTGATTTGAAGTTTTACAAATTTTGAATTTATAGTTAATTTTAATGGGTTTTAAAATGATTTAAGCAAAAATCTAAATGGATAATAGACAAAGACACTAGAGAATAGTTAGTGTCGACGTGACACAAAGATAAAATTAAAAAATTTATGTTTGGAGAAATAAAAGATAAAATTGAAAAAAAAAAGAAAAAAAAATAATATAAATGACATATTTTATGTAAATAAAAAGTAACGTAGTAGGTTTAAGTAGTAAAAAATTTAATATTATTTAAGTTCTTGTATGTATAGAAAATTTCCGTCGAAATACTCATCTACTAAAATTAAGTGTGCAATACTGATCAATTTATATTAATCAAGGTGAAACCTAAAATCGGGAGGACAACAAATTATTTTAATAAATAAATTATAAATTTATGACCTATGACCTCTAATGACAAAATTTAAGGTAAAGTATATTAATGATCACTGAACTTTTCTAAAATTCATTCCCCCAACACAATTACTATAATAAAAATTTATGACCTCTAATAATAAAAATAAATGCTTGAAAATGAATAAGATTAACTATGTGTGCAATTACTATAAATTTCATTCCCCCATAAAATATATGCTAATCCTAGGATAGTCGAACGCATGCATGTTTGGAATAATATAAAAATTAGGGTAAAGTATAGTAATGGTTATTGAATTTTTCTAAATTTTTCATTTAGGTCCTCCAACTTTTAAAACTTGCAATATAATCCCCTAACATTTAGTCTGTTTGCAATATGGTCCCTCAACATTCAGTCCATTTGCAATATGGTCCCCGACATAACTGTTGGGGGATCATATTGCAAACAGACTAAATGTTGGGAGACTGTATTGTAAGTTTTAAAAGTTGGGGACCTAAATGAAAGCTTTAGAAAAGTTCAGTGACCATTACTATACTTTACCCTAAAAATTAAATTCAACGATTAAATTTATAATTTATACGAATCGAAAGAATAAGGTGTAGTTGTGAGGCGATTTTCTCCAAATATCACCAGTGATCGATATATTTACCGATCTAACACCGGTCAGATTATATTTCCCGATCTAACACCCGTAGCAGTAAAGCGCACCCCCTGAACCGCGCTATATGCTGATTTGGCGCCACGTGGAGTATAGTGCGCCCCCTGTACTGCGCTATACGCTGACTGGGTTACACGTGGGGTATAACGCGCCACCTGCTCCGCGCTATACGCTATATAGGGGTATAGCGCGGATCAGGGGCCTCGCTATACGCCGTACCAAAATTATATTTAACGCCATCCAAATATCTGATGGACACCTCAACTCAGGTGGGATCACCGCCCTCACATCATCAGTAGAATATGACACCATTCAAACTAAAACAAATGATATATAATTTTTATCAAAATAATAATCTAATTATATAACTATAATCTAAAATCGATTTTTAAACATTAAAATTCATACATGTGTGCCAGCCTTCTGATCGATTAGCACCCTAATTTTTTTCTAAATCATCAGGTAGCTCCTGATGATTTTTCTTATCAGTAGACCACCTATTCAATGAAAAAAATTTGTTATATGCTCTATAAAAATATTAATATACAAAATCAGTTTTATAATTACCTCAGAAGTAGTGGAAATACGAATGTGTTCTTCACAACGGGCCATAAAAAGGGCAATTGATACCATGCCCAAGACTGCAGCAGCAGGAGACATCCGCCGATAGCATTAAGTCTGTAGTCAGTGGCTCCACACATCTCCCTGTACAGTAAAGCCAAAACTGCCGAGCCCCAACTGAATGATCCGGCGAGACGAAAGTCGCTAAGATGTCGCAACCACATGCAGTGAACTAGGTTGCGCGATTTGTCCTACATCATCAACCCTCCTATCAGCAGCAGTATGCATACATCTTAACCTCATCCTCAGAGACGTCTGCGCTCAACTCCCGAAAATTGACATATAACCAATTTAACGGTATCATACCTCCGATAAAATTTTCCGGAACACGTCCTAGACTATCCCGACACAAAGTAGTCCAAGAACCGGAAGCTATCCTCGATATCACATCTCCATCCACTGGAAACCCCAGGTGAATAGAAACATCCTCAAGCGTGATCGTGCACTCTTCGTACAGAAGATGGAATGTGTGGGTCTCCGGCCTCCACCGCTCTACTAAGGCTGAAATCAGGTCTGGCTCTATCTTACAGTGATCCTGATATCTACCTATGTAACCAAATCTAGCCTCTACTAAATACAGCAAGACACGGTTTGGTATCTCTAACTTAAGATTCCTAATAAAAGGATCTAATACACGGTCATTCTCCTAAAAATAAATAATTACAAAAATTAATTATTAATTTAATAATTATGCATTAAATAAATCAACTAATTATTACTAATAATTTAAATTAAATTAAAACGTTAAAATGTTACCGTATCAACAAAGTGTCGAGATATTTAATTCTTAATCTAATAATCATGCATTAAATAAATCAACTAATTATTACTAATAATTTAATTAAATTAAAACGTTAAAATGTTACCGTATCAGCAAAATGTCGAGATATTTAATTCTTAATCTAATAATCATGCATTAAATAAATCAACTAAATATTACTAATAATTTAAATTAAATTAAAACGTTAAAATGTTACCGTATCAGTAAAGTGTAGAGATATATGATTTCCATCCGAACGAAGTAGACTGCCTTCTATTATATATCTGCAAAAGAATTATATTAATAAAATATTAAATAAAGTAAATACATAATAGTAAAAATATTATAAAATATACTTTAAAAGGAGAGAATTTGAGAGAAATTTAGAGAATTTGATGTGATAAAAGTGATTGAGGATGTGGTATTTATAGGGAGGATTGAGATGTGAGAGGTCGAGTATTTAGGGGTATAGAGCGCCCCCTGCACCGCGCTATACCCTACGTGTCAGATACGCATGTATAGCGTGGATCAGAGGGTGTGCTATATCCACGTGACGCCAAATCATCGTATGTCGTGGGACAGGGGGCGCGTTATACCATGTGATGTCAAATCAGCGTATAACACGGTTCAAGGAGCGCGCTTTACTTCTATAAGTGTTAGATCAAAAAATATAATCTGATCGATGTTAGATCAAGAAATATAATCTAATCGATATTAGATCATTAAATATATCGATCACCGATTATTTATTGAAAAAATTGCCTAGTTGTGATGGCCCAATTTTTCTTAAAAAAGAACGAATTTCTTTTTCGTTTTAAAAAGTGGATGCGAGCATAGAAGACCGTTCCTCGATTATTGTACCGCTATGTATTTAAAAGTTTCACAGTTTTTTATTTTATTAAATTGACCTACTCTCCTCTACTATTATACCTCTTTTCAACGTTCCATTTCCCTTTTCTTATTTCTCCGATTTGCATTAACTAAACTTTTTCACAAACTCCCAAGTTGTAAGACCTCACTGTGTGAGAAAACAAACAAATCCAAACAGACAAAGGACACTTTTTTTTTTTGTTTCCAGATCACAAACTAAAATTCCAAAACCCAGAGAGATAAAGAACAAGGGTAAGCATAAACACACCTTATCATGGTAGCTGGTAAGGTAAGGTTAGCAATGGGTTTGCAGAAATCACCAGCAAACCCAAAGAACGAAACTCCCTCTAAGCATCCATTATCGTCATCAACGAGCTCGGGTAACAAATCCAGTTCTTCCCAAAAAACAGTTTTTTCACGTTCTTTTGGCGTTTACTTCCCTCGATCTTCGGCTCAAGTTCAGCCCCGTCCATCTGATGTCGCCGAGCTCCTTCGGGTAGTCGAAGAGCTAAGAGACCGAGAGTCCAGGCTCAAGACTGAGCTTTTGGAGTGCAAGCTTTTGAAAGAATCGGTTTCCATTGTTCCTGTTTTGGAGAACGAAATTGCGGTTAAGAATGCAGAGCTGGATCGAGCTTTGAAGGAGATGGAAAGTTTGAGGGATGCAAATGAGGCGTTGAAAATGGAGGTGGAGGAAATGAAGGGGAAGGTTGAAGAAGAGAGGAAAGTGAGGGAAACAGAGGAAGAGATAATGGAGTTGAAGAAAACGGTGCCGTTTCTGCGTTCTGATTGTAACGGTAAAGGTGAGAGTTTGAGGAATTTGAAGAGAAGTAATAGTAAATGCTGGGACACAGTCGTTGTTTTCAGTGCTTCGAGTAATGAAAAAAGGGAGGAGCTTGAAACTGAGAGACAGAGTAACTCAGATGAACTCGTTGAGTCGAGTCTTGTTAATATCAGATCTCGTGTTCCTAGGATCCCAAAACCACCTCCGAGACCTTCATCATCGTCATCAATTTCATCTAACAGCTCCCTTGATTTAAAAGGGAAGCAAATTACTCCACCACCACCGCCCCCACCTCCTGCACCAGTGGCAACAGTCAAACAACTTGCACCTGCTGCAGCTGTACCTCCTCCTCCTGCACCAGTGGCAACAGTCAAACAACTTGCACCTGTTGCAGCTGTACCTCCTCCTCCTGCACCAGTGGCAACAGTCAAACAACTTGCACCTGCAACTGTACCTCCTCCTCCACCGCCGCCTCCGAAAGGTAAGAATGCTATCGCGGCGAAAGTGAGGAGAATTCCGGAGGTTGTGGAGTTCTATCACTCACTTATGCGGAGAGACTCGAAGAAAGAAGCAGGTGGCTGTAGCGCGCCGGAGCTTTTGCCAGCCACAGCCAATGCCCGGGATATGATTGGAGAGATCGAGAACCGGTCGTCTCATTTGCTCGCGGTGAGTTTCGGTTCCCAGTTCTGTAGTTTATTACGACAATGCCATTGTGGTCACAGTGCTGTTTTTGTGTCAGTGGCCACTGACTGGTCGTCCGTGACTTTTATTGTGTTTTGTTGGATCTGATGTCTTGCCAAATAAGACACGATTTGGATTCAATGTAGTAGTAATTAGAACAGAAAATTACAAAAATTAAGAAGGTTTAACTTGATGAGTATGTGATTGGGTTTATCTTTTCAATTATCTTAACAATAGAATATACTTTGTGACCACTGTACAGATAAAGACAGATGTGGAAACACAAGGGGACTTCATAAGGTTTTTGATTAAGGAAGTTGAGGACGCTGCATTTACAGATATTGAGGATGTTGTGCCTTTTGTTAAATGGCTAGACGATGAACTCTCCTACTTGGTAACTTTTCCTTTCTTCTTTCTATCCTTTCGGTTTTGTTGAGGGATTTTCCTTTCAATGATTAGTTTTGTTTGTTCTTCATTTAGGTGGATGAAAGAGCTGTGCTGAAACATTTCGATTGGCCGGAGCAGAAGGCTGATGCATTGCGTGAGGCTGCGTTTGGGTATTGTGATCTCAAGAAACTAGAATCCGAGGCTGCATCGTTTCGTGATGGTGCCCGGCAACCTTGCGGTCTGGCCCTCAAGAAGATGCAGGCTCTGCTTGAAAAGTACGTATAAAATACTTAGTTATTCGATATATAAATTCCTTTCATATGCTTTCTCTTTCCGTTATGAATCTGCATGTAACAATGGCAGGCTGGAGCATGGTGTTTACAATCTCTCCCGAATGAGAGAATCTGCTGCAAATAGATACAAAGGATTTCACATCCCTATGGATTGGATGCTCGAAACCGGAATCGTAAGCCAGGTTAGTTTTAAGATTTCATCCTTCATGTTCTGTACTCGGATTAATTGTTATGCCGATCAGTGAAAACAAAATGTCCTGCATACAAATTATGGCAGATCAAGTTGGCATCAGTAAAACTAGCGATGAAGTACATGAAACGGGTATCTTCCGAGCTGGAAGCAGTAGGGGGTGGGCCTGAAGAAGAGGAGCTGATTGTTCAAGGCGTTAGATTTGCATTCCGTGTACATCAGGTAACCATTCTCATTTAATTTACACAAGTTGGACAAGATCCTAATCCGGCATAGAGATGATAACCCCTTTTTTCTCTCCATTTATCGACAGTTTGCTGGCGGATTCAATGTCGAAACGATGAGGGCATTCCAGGAACTTCGAGACAAGGCCAGATCATGGAACGTACAATGCCAAAACCAACCAAAATCTCTGTAAACAAACTCTGCTTCAGAGTTCAGAAAGTATGTATCATTTTGTGTTGTAAAGATCGAAACATCAAATGTTTGTGAATACAACACCAGCTGCTATTGTTATCCACCCATATTCAATTAATTAATTCCAGGACATAACTGTATTGCTGCCTGAAAACTACAGCTTCACCTAAACCCAGCTGTTTGTATGATTGTACAATTTGATTGTGTGAAGAAGAAAAAGAGACGTAAATTCTTTGTTTGCCCATTGTGGACCTTCACATGACCAGAGCTGCATACAGAAGCTGGTTCCATGTATCAGGCAATCCAGGAAGACACCAGTGGCTGCAGTCGTTGCCTGTATGGTTGCTGCTATAGGTCGACGGATGAGCGTCTTTTCTCAACTGCGACAGGGTCGTGATATCGAGCAAGAAAACTGGTTTTTTCATAGACCCCAACACCTCGTTAACAATTGAAGCAGCTGGAGGTGCACCTGCCGGGTATGTAGGACCGGACAGTGGCTCTAGCTCTCCGTAACAGTTCTTTTTCGGTTGGTTCCACTCCCTGCCCCTGGATTCATCCAATACAATCAGTACAAATTAGACTGCATCGGATCGTATTTAGGTTATTTCTGGACTAACTCGTAGTGGGTGGGGGAAATGCCCTGGAAGAAGACCTTGGTCTTGGCAGGATCAACAGTGGTGTCAACCCAGTTGCCCCATGTTGTAAGCCCCTTGCTGAAAGCCTGTAAACGGTCCATATCTTTGTATAATGCAGACCCATCTCTGATGAAATCCCACCTACATTAAATAAACATGACATTTCTAAATAGATTATTGGAATGTGATGCATTGATGGTTTATAAATAAATGGAATAAGATGAAAATGGTACCCTTGAGATTCTCCCTGGTGGATCCACCAATGCCAGCTGTTGAAAATCAACACGTCCATTCCTTCCCATGCATTGCCACCATTGATGGAGCCTAGATCAAGCACATCGCCAACACTTTCCCTAACAATATCCACCAAGTACGGTGTTCGGTACAAATTCACAGTCACCCCATAATCCTGCATGGTGAGAAAATGGTTAATTTATCTAGTTTTTTTTTCTAGATACTTGTAATCCTACAAACAATACATGTACCAATTATTGTATTGCTAATCCTGGCTTGAAATTATACTTTAAGGATAGTCAAAGAGAATAAAGGAGGTAATTTGAGTTATTTTTTTAAAAGACAAGAACTCACCTCAAAGATAACGAAAGACAAAGGGGTCTTCCTAACAAATGTGGTCTTGGAGTTTGGCACCGAGGCATGTATCATACATGCCATGGATTCCCACATGTTCAAACTCAGTGAGTCACCCACAAACATTATCTTCTTTCCCCTCCATTTTGCCAGAAAACTTGCCCCATCAAATCTAACAACAAAAACAAAATACACACATCAATCTTTCTCAATCAAAGAGTCTAAATTAAAAAAAAAAAAAGGGGAAAAAGGGGTACCTGGGCAAGTTACACCCATCAGGTTTCCAGGCGTACATAAGGTATTGTTTGTCGGGTCTGCCATGTTTAAGGCAATCAAATTCAGCATCTATGAAGGGACACCCCGAAGAGTCGTAGAAAGGATACGAAGGATCAAACACCCATTGGCCTTGAAACAAATTGCATCCACCCACTTGCTTTCGACTACTTAACCCGGTCACATTGTGGTAATATCTCCCGGCACTTGCCTCTTGCATCAACACGAGCACAACTATGGGAACCGAACACAACAGTGTCTTGCAACTGAAACCCATCAAGGAATTTGTGTCCTAAAAACAAGCTAAGTAAACTGCACACCCAGAGCTTATATACAAGGGGATGAGAGAGGGGGGGAAAGGCTGCTAGGTGGGTTCACATGGAATGAGGAAGACGCCATCTTCTTTTGCATTACAGTGTCCTGCATGTCATGGGATGTATGTTAATGATATAAAATTGCACATGGTTTGGCCTTTGTCTTGATTTTCATGAGATAAGAAATTGATAGTATAATTGAAGAATGGAGTCGAATATAACTAATTTATGAAACCGGTGATGATATTCACCCAATAATTGGGGGAATCACGTGGAATTCCAAAAAACCAACCAGGAAATGCAAGTTGTGCAATTCCAAAATAAAAGAAAAAATTCAGATCAGTGTTTCCCAGCCATCACCGCACCCAACAGGCCCACCATCTTGGCAGTTGAGCAGTTGACACCGAGCTAGCTAAGCTTCATTCAAATACAAATGTGCAGATTACAACGCAGAGACACCTTTTGGTTGAGAATAGTCAGTACGCCTCTCTTGTCAAGAATCTTACAAGGCACAGGAGTCTCCCTCCCGTGATACTTGTCGGCAATGGGACAAAAATCCGTGACAATGTGACCCAATGCTAATACAAACTTTCAAACTTGGTAATCTGTATTCATTTTTTAAAGATTTTCAAGTCCCTGTAATTTTAAGCTTTTTTGAAAACAACCCCTCGTCCAATCACATGCATGAAAGTCATTTAAGCTTGTTTTGTTATATCTATGAGTCTACAAATCATGTGTTTAGTTCCTGTAAATGTAATTTTACCATTGATGCTTTGAATTGCAGAAAATAATGCTTCGTGCAATTTAAATTTACTTACTTTTTAATTCCAGGAATTTAGCCATCGACTCATTTCTACTCTTTTTTGATTTAATGATCCAACTGATAACATGATCAAAAGATGTGTTCTGCTAAAAAAAATGTCTTAAATTGGATCATATAGTACCTTTTTATTATAAAAATTGCTCATGTGACCAATTTAAAATCCTAAGGAATAGGGCACAGCCAGGGGCCATGACTCCTCTTGGTTAAATGGTCAAATTGTTGTTTTAGTCCCTCATAAATAATAAAATATAATTTAGTCCTTTTAGCTTTAAAAATAGAAGAATGAACCAAGGAATGTTTATCCTCTGTAGTTTGTTCAGAAGATAAACCAGAATCTACACCCTCAACAGATTTCACAGATGAGAGTGGAGAGTGATCTTCACCTGCACTTACGTTCGAGTCCTTATAGGCAGCAATAGCGGCCTTTTGCACCTGATTCGAGTTAAGGTTTTCTACTGGATCATAGGAGACGGTCCTGCAGGAGACAACTCTTCAATTAATTCAGTGCAGAACTGTTTTACATTAGAACCGTCTGCAACTGGCTTTGGACATATCTCAATGTTTCCTGACCAGAATACCATCCAGTTCAGTTGGTAGAGCACAAGGCTCTTAATCTTGGGGTTGTGGGATTGATTTCCACGGAGGGCATTTCATAATTCGGAGGTCTCTTACAAAAACTGCTCTCAACGGGTAGCATATTATCCTACCTCTCCCTTACCCCATTACATATGGGAATAAAGGGTCAGCTAATGTTTTTTGTGCAGAACTGCCAATATTTCGAGGGCAAAAAGATGAATGTAACCGATACATGGTACACAATGTCAACAACCTCCATGTTCTAATAAGTGTTGCCGACTAAATCCATGCCCTTAGATTTGTCTCCCATTGAACAGAACAAAACAATGTTTTGATTCACTTTCCAGATAGAATTCAACACGAACTGCGAGATTCAAGAACCATATACATATATTAATGAAGCTCTACGTATATAGACACTACAACATCATAATGCTTGTGATTCACAGATTAAACCTAGAACAGAATATGCCTACCAAAACAGGCTGAGATAATAACATTAAAATAAGATTTTGGCTATGAATTCATGGGTCGTGGAAGATGACGATATTGAAAACATTAATTAACTGCACCAGCCGGGAATCGAACCCGGGTCTGTACCGTGGCAGGGTACTATTCTACCACTAGACCACTGGTGCTTTGATACGCTGTTGTACAACTTTTGATTAAATACCATGATTATTTTATACAAAATAACAAGAATAAGAGCTACTGTTTCCCAACAGTGGCAGATAATATTGTGCTAAAATTAAAGCAGCTTAACTGAGGTAAGCTCCGAGTTATTAGATAACATATAATGAAAAGGGGTACATTCACATGATCAGATAAGATGTTCTCTTAGATCTATAATGATCTATCTATATATGTATTTATATATAACAAGTTTCTAAAGTTTGTGTTTCAAACCAATATTTGCACATACAACACAGTGGATTGACACAAACAAAACGAGTTCAATGATGTTTTTCTATGAAAACGAGCTTGAGAAATCAAAGTAAGAGATCCTTCGCCTCTTCTTCGGAAATGCCGAGTGCAGCGAGTATTTCGGCGAGATATAAGCCTTCTCCTTGATTGCCGTGCCTCAGAATCATTGCCATGCCCAAGTCGGCAGTCGGTAAAAACGAAATCAATCCTCAGCCGACTCCCCAAAATCGATATTTCCGCTTTCACCATCTTAATTGGAAGGGCGTTGAGAGCTTGTCATAGATCGGTCAGGAGTTTGGGTCTATAATCACAACAGATTGATGCCTTGAAACAATAAGTCCCATTGACTTCATCATCACATGCATCAACTCTGACCTAATCATCATCCATTGGAACAAGAAACCCTTTGCTGGCTTCAGACGCATTCTGCTTCAGTTGTTTCACTTGTCTAACGACTTCACGAAGTAAGGTGGCCTTATATCTACAATGAGCATTTGACTTGGTTTATTATAAAAGAAAAACATTGAGAAATGGTTAATTATTACAAAAGGACATACATTTGTAACCTGAATTATTTTATTCATGAAGACAGAACCCAGAGCACAACAGCTGTTACATTAGGGTTTAACTGAAAAAAAATATCTAACGAAGTTGTATGTCAACTGATTATTATATCATTATGTCAAAATGATTATGTCAACTAACAGGAATAGATGAGGAGAAATTGAAGGTGGCAAGCGAGAGTTGACCTTCCAAGTGCAAAAAATAATGCAGCAAATGACATGCACAATTCCAATGATGAAGGCTTTCTAAGCAATCAAACATGGCAATAAATGGTTGGGCTAATTCCACCTAAAAGTCCATGAACCATCCCACAATTCTAAATTAGTCCCTCAACTTAGCAACATTCTAATTGAGTTCTCAGTTCCAATATGGTATCAGTCAAGTCATTCCATTAGTTTAACATTCATTTTAGGTAGTAAATGTCAATTCAGATCTAATTTGGAGTATAATTAAAACACAGATGGAATTACAAATATATTTTTACTTAGTGCGTGGAGATGTTAATTATTAGATATGACATGGAAAAAGAAAGACAATGTCAATAAAAGTTATGAGAGCTATTTTTTTTCTACCACATATGGTCCATGTGGTAAATATACATATTTATAATTTAATTCATATGTTTTAAATATACCGCGATACATATCTAAACTAACATTTAACACTCAAGTTAATGACTAGGTTGATGGAAGGAACAATATGATAATACTGATACATTAAGGACTCAATTATGCTTTGTTAAAAAATTAAAATGTTTTAAAGCTTAAGAAATAATTTAAAATCTAGACCATAATTAGAAGACCTTTAGTGCAATTAACATTAATAGTTGAAATGTAAGGTTTGCTTCATATGATATAATCGGGAAGAGTTCGAATTCTAATCTTAGGAATAGAGAAAAATTAAATTGGAAGATTCTTTATAATAAGGTCATATAATGTTAATTGATTAATGAATTAGTATATAGATTAACATTTAACACGTGTACCTTCTGTTTGCAGGGCAAGAGAGTACGGGGCGTATGGAGATGAGCATTGATCCTCTCTCTTCTTCTCCTCTCAGCCTCACTATGACTCTTCAAACTCGCTATAATTTTATCTTTCGACACGCATTTCTTCCCGGCCGTCACCGGCGTCTTCACCAGCCCTCCCTTCTCACTATCCAACACCAACGACTGCGATGTTGCCGCCACCGACAAAGACCCGCCGTGGGAAATCCCATCGCATGGACCCAAATCACGCGAAAACGTATCAAGGAAGCCAGAATAACAATTCTCAAACGAGAAGCTACTGTTGAAAGAGCTGTAAGAAGCCATATAAATCACCAAAAAAGGGTAAAAAAAATAAAAGTTGTATATGAGCTTCTTTATGCTGGATTTGTTATTTTGTTTTACGGCCGGAGGTGAAGGAGAGTAGACCAGGCGGACGTGTGGTGGGGGCGAGCCAGAAGGAGAGCTTTTGGAGAGGGAAGTTCTGATGGTTGACGACTTTCTTGTTGTTGATGATGATCGGTGCTATGGCTTCCATAACGCAAGAGTACAATCCTGGGGGAAATAGCTTTAAAACATATGAAAGATTACAAAGAAAACATCCACATTTTCTTCTTGACGGTCTTGAATTCAACCATTTCTTCGAGATATGTGTGAATCTTGTGAGAGTTTTGAGACTTTGAACGTCGAAAACAAAACGAAAAAAACAAGTTTCTTTAATGGGTTTTCGATGAATACTCAATAGAAATGGACAAAACAAGGCAAAGGGAACTGTGGTTTCGAATCAAATCCGAGTAGCAGAGGGAAGAAGAAGACACTGAGATTTCAGTATCTAACTCAAGGTTCATAAATAGGATCTCAATTTCAATGCACTAATGTTAAACCAGTTATTATTATTATTATTATTATTATTATTATTAATTGAAGTATTTTGTCAAAAAGTATTCTATAGCCGTTGTTTAAATTAGATATTAACATAATAACTGTAGAATACTTTTAATCAGGTGTCATAAATAGTATCTCAATTTCAATGCACTAATATCACTTGATTATTTATTATGTTTTAGATCCTATTTATGAACCTTGATAAAAATTTGATCTCAAAGTTTATCAAGTGATTATTTTATAACTTTTAATAATTGAGGGACTCAATAAAATATCATTTCATAGTCGGAAGATCATTTTATAACTTTTAATTATCGAAAAACTTGATAAAACAATACCAGACCCATTTTTAAATAGGTAATATACTTATTTTCAAGTGAATGATTCAATTGTCAAATATTACGAACCAATATATATATAAACATGTTCAATCAGAGTCTGAATCAACATTGGGTACACCTTGAAGCTACATACAAATATAGATTGAAAAAGATTGGATTACTGAAGATACATCAACATCCACGGATGCGGATCTCTCACAATCTTCTCGTGTTAACGAATACTCCATTTCTCTTCCGGTCAGAGTTTGATCGTCGAAATATGGACGTTGTCGTGGCGCAACATTTTTTTTTGGGAAGCCATTTTTCTGGATTTTCATAGAAAGTCAATTTTTTTTACAATTTTTTTGGATCTAGGGTTTAATGAAAACACAAAACAAAAAACCCTATTTATAACCCCAATTCCAACGACTATAATAAAAATATTCAATGGAACTCCTCACCTCGAGGTGACGAGTTCCAAGTGATTCTTTCCAAGTGACCGTTGCACAACAGTCCGTTGACCAATGACTAGTTTTTTAAATTCGAAGGAATTCGTCACCTCACTGTGACAAATTACCCTCTTTCTTTTAAATTTTTTTAATTTTTTTTTCAATAATCAAAAAATAAATTTTTAAAGGACTCATTGTCTCGATGTGATGAGTTTCAATAAAAATAATAAATTATTGGCTCACGTGGGATCCACTTATCCGGGTCCATTAATTTTTTTTTGTGGAACTCATCAACTCGAGGTGACGAGTTCGCCGGACATTGTAACGAATGTCGGACATTATAACGAATGTCGTACATTCCTAAATAATATTGGATAATGGATAAAACCCTAAATTATTATTCCAAGGCCCTATTGGGCAAAAAAAAAACCGTTGTACTGGTTCATAGTATATAGTTTTGGACACCCCATAACTTATCTTCATCTTTCAAGAGGCCCGGAAGTTTCAACCTAACTTACAAGCCAAAATATTCACCACTATTTTAAATATTTTTAAATTTTTTTAGGGTAAATATATAGTTTGGTACTTAATCTTAGCTTCAACGTGCAGTTTGGTACCTAATTTTTTTGTCCAATTAGATACTTGAACTTGGATTTAAGTAGGGACAAACATATGCTTTTATGTTAAAGAGAGCGAACTTCTAAAAATTTAAAAGGAGACGAACTTATAAAATTTTAGGGTGTGAAAACAAATTATCAATAGAAAATACAAACAAGAAACTTAAAATATATGGTAATTTAAAATTTCAAGGAGGCGATTGCCCTCAGCCCCCTATATCATTGGATTTAAGGTTCAATTTGGTATATGTTAGATTTTGACTAAAATTCTAATTGATAATTAAGTTAGACATTGTTATAATTCTAGTGGTTGAAGACTACTTGATAATTGAGTTTATTTAATAAGTAAAAACTTATTTTAAGCAAGAAGACTTATGAAATTAAGTTTCTTGATGATCATATAGTTGACTCTATAAATATAGAATAGATCTTAACCTTTTGAATCATGGGAAAATTATTTTGGAGAGATACAATCTTACTTTTATATATGCAACTTTTAGGGTTTCAATTGTAGAGATGATTTTGTAGAAATGTTGGGGAGTCTTTAGAGATACATTGGGTTTTAGGATATAGATCGGATTATGGGATATATGTGATATCATATATCGGATTATGAGATTTATGTGATATCATGCATTTGTGTTCTTCATGATTTTTATATTTATAGTAGATTTTTTATTTTTGTCCTTGGAGATAGAAAAGATCGCCACATTAAATTTCGTCTTTTACGCGTATCTTATTTCTATGTTGATTTTACATTGTTATTTTTCGCTTACAAATTTTTAACCATTCGTAAAGTTTCTTGGTCCACTTAAATACACGAATTTAACTTTTAGGCTCAAATTAGTACTTAGACTTGGCTTCATTCAAATAATCATTTACGCTAAATACCAATTCGAACCAAAAAGTGAAGTGTGTTTACTAATTTGAATCAACAAGTCAAGTACAAGTTACACTAAAAAAATAAGTTTAGTTATCTAATTGGACCTTAAAACCAAGTTTAGATCCCTAATTAGACTAAAAAGGTTTGAGTATCAAATTGTACCTTAATGTCAAGTTCAAGTACCAAAATATGTATTTAACATCCGTGAGCCGGGAGTGATTATAGCTATAACGGCGTAATGAAATCGGTGATACCAGCCATCGAAAAGATAAACAAGTTTTGATTACAAGGGGAGAAATTATGATTAAATGTTTGAAAAGTGGTTCGGCGATGACTCGGCCGACTCAGGTGGCTTGGTTGGATCATTCATCTGCAACACATTTCTTTTGACGTTTTTCTCGTTGTTGTTGACCCAATTAACGTCCGGGGGATATCATTTTATAATAATAATAATAAGAGAGATTTATTCAGTACACGAATTGTCAATTGAAACTTAATATTGTTATTTATTGTTAAATATAAAAAAAAACAAGGCGTGAAATCAAACAAATTTAATGATGCGACACAAAAGTTGAAGATGTTAGCCCAATCCAATAGGCATTAGCAGGGGGCAGTGAAAAGTGTTTTTGGATACAACCTAATCAACCTCGTACATTGCAGCTATCTGCATGAGATTCCATAACTAAAACAAAAGACATTGGACCAACTGTGTAGGTCCAAACCAAATTACAACTTCAGTTTTTTTTTTGGTGGCCTCCAAATGAAAGGGAAAAGGCAAACGGCAAAAGAGAAACTTTCAAACTACAGAAACTAAATCCTACCTGCCAACTGCTGGTTATCTTCTCTGAGTTCTCAGTCCAGTATCTGCTACAAATAGCTATATATACTTTCAAGGGATAAGTATAAATGTCAAATATTATATGCTTCATGTATTCTCCCATGGAAATAGCTGTCGAAATTCTTCCCCAGCTGGCTAGCTATAAATATCTGCAACAAAGAGAAATGGGCCCTGTTTAGCTTATTTATCGTGTTTAACAATGCAAAGCTGTCGGGAGGGTAATGCATACAACAATAGTCAAATGTTGTTTGTGTATACAAATGCACCTCATCTCCTTAACCATTCTCAGGATGAATACATCAAATCAAGATTCAACCCTTCTGTTTCAGTTGAACATTCTGCATGTTTTGCCAGACATATCACACAACAAAACTTGAGGAAGACGATAAGAGTTTGAACAATTAATCATTCAACCCACCATCCCTGTATATTAGATAGATCCTCACAACAACCATTAGGCTAAACAGAGAGTTCTGAATGTCCAACTTTGGAGGAAGTTATGTAGACAAGTATGTTCAGGATGGGAGACACACCAAACAGACCATCATTACAAGACAAGCTTAAAAGGATCCTAACAAATTAAGTCTCAGAACCATTCATCATGAACCACATTCAAAAGACAAACTCATATTGCAAATGGCAAAGATCAAAACTGGTAGTTATTTAACATTTTTCCAAACCAGGAAACGCCAACACTTTTAACCATACAGAAAACTTGTAGACAAATCATTTATGCCATGCCATGTGCATTGCAGATATCAAGAGCAATTTAAATGCTGAAGCATATTTAGCACTTGAATCTTCTGCGGGCATCAATATGCTTCTAGGCACACGGTACTGTTGATAAAACAGTCAACCTCTGTTAGCTGACCAACAATGGAGAAACATCTATTTTCTGTTGACATGCCGAGAAAATAATTTAGATGTACAGATAAAAGTTTATCTGAACATAAGCCAGAACTTGACCAATCGGCAAGCAAAAGCTAAGTTAGGCCACACGCCACCCTTACTTTACACACATATCAGACCAATCAACTAAGTAGTAAGCCTGCACACACTACAGGACATTCCAAATAGATGTAATTTCAGAGACTAAAGCCACCATAATCATGCATTTAGAAAAATAGAACACCCAATAAACCAAAAGAACAAATAACATTCCGAAATGACTACAGGTTTAGAATGGCACAGAGCGGCAAATTATCAAACAGATTCAACCTCCTACAAATCAGTAAAGGATAGCAAAGTTAGGAAGATATAAAGAGCCAAGTTTCCTTTCTGAACAAAACCAGCCCTCATTCTTTTTCCCAGCTATGTGTGTAACAAGATAAGCAAGCTGTCTCACTTCTGTCATGTCAGTCAGTTCCCACTTCCCACATAAAAAGAAACAGTAAAAACTTAAAATTTAATGGCATTGCATATATTGATCTTCAAACTGAAATCAAACATCAATCATTGCTAGTATGCAACATTTGAGTAATGCATCTTCTACAGAATAAATGAAGGAAGACCAGGTATTCATGCAAAGTTCATCGTCAAACACAAAATGGACAGTAGTATAACTATGAATCAGCAGAAATCTAGACATATATGTTTTGAAGAAACCTTTGAACAGAAAATACTGAAGAGATTCCACAAAGCAAATAAAAATGGACATCAAGATCACACCCTTTGGAGAAGAACAGCATCATTGAGGAATTCTGTCATTTTTTATTCCAAAAATATACCACAAACAGATGAATATCACTGCATGAATGAATACTACCCCTTTGTATTATCGATACTGACTTCAACACCCACTGGCCAGTTCAGTTTAAGGTCATCTATTGGACAAAGCAAACATAACACACAACAAACTGAGGGAAATGATTCGTTCCCAATATGAACAATTACAGCTTTGAACATATTTAAGTTTTCATGCTAGAATCTTAACAATAAGATAGATCAAACATAAAGTGGATAGACCCACTAATTTCCTCAATCACTAAATAAAACCCGATAAGTTAGAACCCTCATCATTTCATTCTATCTAATGGTCAAAAACACACTGAAAAAACTAAGCAAGAAAAAATATTTTAAAATCCAAAAACAGCTACAAAGCATAAGATTAATGAACCCATTACTCAAAAATATACATTAATCAATCAAATAGCAAATACAACAATATGAAAAGCTAAACATAGCTTCTTTCATGAGGAAGAATAGGCCTCACCACTGGAACCCGCGGGTCGTTTGCTGCGCTTTATCTTTTCGAGCTGCACCTGTGTATCCATAAACATCTTCATCCTCTGCACTTCCAAATCTTTAGCAAATTGCATTCTTTGCTTCTCCAATTCCACCATCTGCCTCAGCTTTTCCCTTTCCACTCTTTCATAAACTTGACCAAGCCTTTCTATCGCTCTGGCAAATCTCTTCATCCCTTCCCTCTCCTCTCCTTCTCCTTCACTTTCATCTCCCTCGCTTTCTTCTCCCTCTTCCTCGTCACCCTCTATATCAGCAACCGCTGCAGCCGAATAATTTCTCTTGAAATACCCATCATCGAATGCCGGCCTCTTCTTCGGAAGTGCGACAACCGTGGTCGGCGCCGGAGTCCTCCTGTACGGCAACAGAAGAGGAAGAGCCACGGGAGGAGACCCGGGGATCCTCGGCGACGGCTTCGGTGATATCTTAGGCAACGGCGAAACCTTTTTAGCTGTAAAATTAGATCCGATAAGAGCATCCAATCGTTCAAAGAACGGCCACGACGACATTAGGGTTCCGTTAGAAGCGGCGACCGTAGTCTTCTCGATCTTATACTTCTTCTTAATGGTATCAATCCTGTTCTTACACTGAACATCGGTACGATGAGTCTTCTTAGTATGACCGTGAAGGGCATTAACGGCGTCGGCGACATCCTGCCAATCCATCTGACGTAGGTTCCCACGGTTAAGCTCGACATAACGTCGACCCCAAGCGTCAATGAGGGTAGACGTAGCTTCCTCCGACCAACAATCCTCACGAACGGGTAACGCCCGTGAGCCGGGAGTGGTAGAAGGAGGGGTGATTATTGCCAACGGCGTAACGGAATCGGTGATGTCGGCCATTGAAACTACGAGAGAAGGATGGTTATTCTACGAGAAGGGGAGAATTTAGGGTTATAGATTTAAAAAGGGGTTCGGCGATGACTCGGCCGACACATGAGAGGAGCGTGAGAGTAGGGAAAGGGAATAATAGGGGAAAAGGGGGTCGCCGGGATGTGTGAGAGAGAGCGCGTGAGGTCAGGCTCACTGGCTGGCTCGGGTCGTTCATCGGGTTAGTCTCGGCTACAACTAGTCCAGTTGGCATTTTGTTTGACGTTTGCTTTTCGTTGCTGCTGGCCTGGCCTGCTTAACGTATCGGAAAACGGCTTAATTAACAACTTTCTTGCCCAAATTTTATTTTATTTTCTATGTTGATATTCATTTTTTTTGTTGGAAGCTATACTTGATTCGTTCCACTATCTAAATTAAATATTATTATTCATTACATATTTGAATTCATAAAAAAATTAAAATCATATTTAGATATTTAAATTCATATAAAATTCAATCTAAAAAAATTAGATGTATAAAAGTTCAAATTCTCTTAGAAGTAATATTTTTATTTTGTAATATCATTGTAAATTTAAATTTTTAAATCCACGTCCATATTATAAAGATTTGAATAATGGATATATGGGATAGTTCTGCTGTACTGTAGTCTTAATATACAGTTAAAGAAATGTTCTACCGGAAATCTTAATATTTTTTTAACATTTTGGTTAAAGCGCTACCTAAAACATTATTTTTTTACCGAAAAATGTTAATTTCACTTACTAATTTCGCTAACCAATTTTAACATTTTCGATAGATAAATAATGCTTTAGATAGCTCTTTACCAGAAATGTTAAAAAATATTAATATTTTCGATTGCTCATTTTCTTAGCCATATATTAAGACTGTCGTACCTTAGACATCCCCATATATATGAGAATGTTTATCTTCATTTACTTTAGCTGCGTCTTCATTCACAAGATGATTGTGAATGGTTCACCTTTTTTAATTTGAGTAAATAGTTATAGATGTTGATTAAACTATAGATGATTAATATTAAAATTCTTTGTTAGTGTTAATCTTAGGTATACATGTATGATGACTATTTATAGATAGCAGATAGATAGATAGATAAATATAATTAATGTGATAAGTTATCAATCGATACTGACAAATTACGTGAGATCAATAAATAAATTATAATAAAAGATTGTAATTTCTCGATTGGTGTGAAGATATGAAGATTTTATATTTAAAAATATTATTCCAAAATTTTAATTATAAAACTTTTTTTCTAAAAATCTTAAAAGTTAAATTTAATCTTTAAAACAGATTCGGAGAATGTATAACAAAATTCATATATTATCCAAATTTATAAGAAAAGTAGGCATCAAAATGGAATAAATGGTATAATTTAAGTAACAAATTATACATTAACCACGAGAAACTGAGAACTGTGATCGTTTTTCCGGAAATATTGATTGTAAATTTATGGAGTAAAATTTTATAAATTATTTATAATCATATTATTTTAGAAGTTTTGAGAAAAGGATCAAATCTGAAATTGATATATACTAACAAATTAACTAGTATAATTTTTGAATTTACAAGCGAGACCTAAGAAGCGGTTGCGTCGATGCTTGTGAATGATACTGATAAACGGCAGTGATGATGCCGGCGGCTGCCGATTGATGCGTTACGTGAGCAGCACGGACTATTTAGCTTCGGTATCGACCGACTCGACTTAGCTTTCTGGGCGCCGTTAGCTTCCAACCATCGTTTCTATCACCAGTATTCTTTTTATATTTTATTTTCCTTTAATTTTTGTTTCCAATATATCTAATTTGACCGGGAAAGGAACCGGCGGTAGAATGGCGCGGCTAATTATTCAACAACTTGGCGTTGAGCTTCAGGAAGCAGCGCTTTGGGTTTTCCCTCTCGCGCGTTATCATAAACCGGTTGGGCCTCTTTGACGGGAAGCCCTTACACCCTTAGTTCAGTTTTATAATTTAATAAACTTTAAAAAATAAACAATTAAACTCTGGCCAGTGTGGAAAAGGCCAGTGCATGCACCATACTATTCATTCATATGTGATAAGAAGATAAGCCGTACACACAAACCTACGATAATTGCGGTCGCGTGTAGGCAATGTCAAAGTGGCGAAAATTTTATGTTGACGCTTAGGAAGAGCAGAATTCCAAGCACTTCCATTTCATACCGCACATAGTAGTTGTCACGATCGGGGTAAGCCACTCTTACCTGTATGAGTTACATCACGTTGATGTCGTGGAAGTTGGTAGGTTGTATTTGTCAAAAATATGAGAGGAATTGGAAGAGTTTTCTAAAGAATTTCATTGGCTGAAAATGAAAAGAAAAGCAAATGGTTGATATATTTTTCAAACTCGGTTCGCCAGCCTCTGCCCATTGGCCCTCGTCGCTTTGCTTGACATCCACTTTAAGATCTCGGTCGTGTCAGCAATAAAGAACATTGGAGCATCATCCAGCTTGGATGTTTGATTTGCAATTGTTATGGCTTCGTAGATATGATTCTTCTAAAAAATGAAAATTCAACTTCTTTAAGGAAACGATCCCTCCACGTATTTATCTAGACCATTTTTGGAGAGACTTTCATGTGAAGAAAGTCCTCCAGTTAACCATACACCCTTCAAAAGACCCTTAAAAATGGTGACAATTCAGTTGGATTAATTACAAGGTAAGCCCTCAGATTTCTTGAGGACTTTTAGAAAGTATTTTCAAAACTGATATTTATTCAATTTAATCCTCAATTTAAAATTAATAAAAATAAAAATTATAACTTATCAATACTAAAATTAACTCTAATTTTAGGGTGTGACATAAAACAAACACAAATGAAAATTAACAAAACTGACAAAAGAAAGCCAACCAGGAAGCTCTTATTGGAACCCTAATGGATGAATGTAATTGTTTTTCTACATGAATCATATCAAAATACGAAAATAAATTGCAAATCCAAGGTTTGTTGTTCAAATTAATTGTAACGTATCAAACAGGTGCGGAAATATGAATTTATTATAGTCAGGGTTAAAATATTTTTTTATTTTCTATAACTACATTTTTTTAATTGAGGGAATCTGGTAAATTTTTATTTATTTATTTTTTAAAAATATATTTTTTATATTAATTAATAATTAAAATATGATTGGCGGGGCCAAGGGTCCCTTGCCCTCCCCTTGGTTCCGCCCATGATACCAAAGCTTACTCGATGATGATCAACAACAACCATCAATCTGGTTTGGGGTCTCTGAGATGCTCTCCAAGTGTGGCCTCCACACCCCGACTCGGCCACTTCTTCGATCTCACAACGTCGACAACTTCTCCGAGAGTATCTCACTTAAATACCAATCCGATACCAAAACGTTCGACATTGAAGTCGTGTTGTTGCTGCTCATGCTTCGGCTGTATCTTTTCTTCTTGGTTGTTGTTTTGGACCGAATTTTTTCAGGTGTCGAAGGGTGCGGGAGGAGGAAATAAATCTTCCCGCGTTGAAGCTCGGCTTCTGGTGGGACAAGGACGATTTTCGGGACCATTTCATCATCATCAGGAGAGGATGATTTCTTGAGGACTTGTTTAGGGTGAGCCTTCATGATCTCGCTAGCTTTGACATGGGAGCCATTGATATCTTCGACGCGGCCATCGGTGTGCACTATACGGATCACATCGACTGCCCCGCAGGGAAGAATGCAAGAGATGCAGCACCAGATGGTGTTCTTCATATGGTCGCTTACTTGGATTGAAATCTATGGATAGGATATATAAATAATTACACGCTTATGGGTGACAGATGTTGATCCGTTATTGGGAACTGTCAAGTAAGCTAGAATAAAGTGGAGAAGACCATATCATGTTATTCAATAAAATAATTAATCACATAAAGTTATAGTCTATTGACCCATCAATTCCATGTTTAAATTATAATCTACACATTAATTCCATGTTTAAATTAATAGTAATAATTAAAGATATTACTAATTTAGATCTATTAATGATATTATAAAAGTAAAAAAATCAAAATTTATCAAATTAAAATATCATAATATGTGAGTTTAAGTTCTAATTTACTCTAATTGAAATTTTAAAGTGTGGTTATTATCTAAATATATTTGAGTTTAAATATGAATATATTTTTATTTTAGTTTGATTGTGCATTATAATAATTAATTATGAAATCATTATCTCAAATATTGATAGTGAAAAAATATTTTACAAACATATTTTGTTCTTTTCATGTATCATATCATATGTATCGTATCGTTGAATTAAGATTTTGATATAACAATAATTTATAAAATTAATTTTGTATTTAATTGAATTTATCAAAAATAATTCAAAAAACGGAATTAACTTGAAAAATATGTTTTAAATGTTTTCTAATGGAAACTTTTCAAAAACATACTCTATCGATTTCACATTTTTAAAATCAAGTTTCCGAGAATTGTTTGCTTAAAGGATCGATCTATTCATAAAAGGTTCTATCTTTTCGACCAAAGGATCAATCCACTTCAAAAAAGATCGATCCCTTATATTAAGTAGGTTTTGGCTCGAAATGATCGATCTCTCGATGAAAATGACTGATCTTTTCTCCTAAATAATTTCTTTGTTACCAGGTCCTTATCGGGTTTGTTGTATTTTCTTTTACTAGGATTTACTTCTTGGTGAAGTATAGAAGATTCAGATCATATAATCAATGCTGTTTTCATTTGATTTAGTGTCGGTGTCCACCCCTATCTTGTATATTTACAGTTCTTTGTTACAATGGACCAAAACACAAATCTTTGCCTGGTTGTTGGGAGATCAAGACATTGAATTCTGTCTTTACTTCTTGCTTTGATTCGCTATATTGATTTATATGTATATATGTGGATATATTGCAGTGGGTCTAGGTTCTTCAAGTGATCAGTTTTAGCATATTTTCAGGTCTTTTCTGGCAAAACTTTGAGATGAAGGTATTTGCCATGGTTTTATTGGAACAAAGCTGTTGAATTTCTTGATTGTGAAACGTTAATGGAGGAGAGGAAATTGAATTTTAATGCTCCGCTTTTATCTGTGAGGCGATTTTCCGGGACGTCTTCCTTTCAAGATCGAAATAAGCAGAATAAATTTGAGAATCCTCCTCCCACGGCACGATTTGCTCTCCCCTGGCATTGCCCGGATGCAAGTTCGGATCAGGTAAAGGAACCTGTTGCGGTTCCTTTTGTGTGGGAACAGATCCCTGGGAAAGCGAAAGGTAGTGTGGAGCTTGAGTTCGAGCCGTTTAAGGAAGCTTTGGGTATTCCCAGGCTTCCGCCCGGTCGGATTTCGAAGGTTGTCAAGTGTCCTGTGGCTGTGCTGTGGAGGAAGAGTGTGTAAATCAGGATGTGTCCGGGTCTCAAACTGAAACGTATGCTTTGAATGATAATGTGAGTAAATTAGACTGTTTGAACGAGAAATGTGTCTCGGGATCAGACAATGACGACGATGTTTATTCCGATGCACTTGATACGTTAACAGATGCATTCTCCATGAATTGTAGTATTAGTGGTCTAAGTGGATCAGATGGTCCAGTTGCTAAACCATCAGGAACGTTCTCTACGGATCCATAAACTCAGGATTTCATGTTGCAGCGCTTTTTGCCAGCTGCAATGGCAGTGACCCTGGAGACACCAAAGTATGCCTTGAGGAAACAATCAGTGGCACCCGAACAACCTACAGAGGCTAAGAAAGCGGTCATTGCCGATAGGAAACCTCCTGTCAATAGTTACGAGTCGGCTATCGTTCCATATTATAACTGGGATGCAGAACAAGAAGAAGAAACAGAAGACGAATTCGATGGCTATCAGGATACGGGCAATTTATCAAGAAAAGCATGCGGCCTATTGCCTCGGTTATGCTTCAAGAGCTCTCACGGCCTCTTATATCCTGTGCCTGGATTAAAAGTTAGATCCCACTCTTCAATGTCTTTCTCGTGAAATTCCGAAGCCACGAAAAGCTATTTACTCCAAGTCTCGAAGCCAAATTTTTGAGAAGGTTAGTTTGGATCTTTTATGTTTCCTTCGAATAGCCATTCGATGATCTTTCTGTAAGTCTTAGATGTAAAGATTAAAGAATAATATCTGAACTATGAGAAAGAGAATGAGAAACAGAAAAGGAGAGAAGAAATATTCTGAATCTTTATTATATTCAAGGGGGTGAATTTTACAAATCTTAAGGAATGTATTTATATTGAGCAATACAGTCATAGCTAATGATGTAACTAATTTTCAACAAACTTCAACAAACTAATTGCTTCAACTTGATTAGCTGCAATGCACAACCATCATGCACAACAATAGTACGTGTGCTCATGTCCCATGCACAACTTCATTCATTCATTTACACTAACATTCCCCTTGCAACCTTCAACTTCAAACCTCCTTCAAAGCTCAAATTGAAATAATGTTCATTTACACTAACATTCCCCTTGCAACCTTCAACTTCAAACCTCCTTCAAAGCTCAAATTGAAATAATGTTCATTTACACTAACATTCCCCTTGCAACCTTCAACTTCAAACCTCCTTCAAAGCTCAATCTGATCTGTTTTTCAGTTGTGCCACCAGCAACCGTTGTCTGTGTTTGAAAAACAAAGACGTTGATAAAGGCTTGGTCAGCACATCAGCAACCTGCTCAGCTGCAGGCACTTCATGTACTTGTAGCTGTCCCATAGCCACCATTTCTTGGACAAAAAACAGATCTAACTCAACATGTTTGAACTTGGAATGCAGTACGAGATTAGCACACACTGCAACTGCACTTGTATTATCACACCACAACGTGGCCTTGCCATGAGTAACTATGTGCAGCTCTCCCAACAGTGATCGAAGCCACACCATCTCAGCAGCTGCGCAAGCCACACTTCTATACTCAACCTTAGCAGTTGAACGTACGACAACATGTTGCTTCTTAGAGCTCTACGAGACCAGGTTCCCATAAAAATATATACAGAACCCTGAGGTTGACTGTCTATCATCAATATCCGAGCCCCAATTTGCATCTGCAAAACCAGTTAGAGCCATTCTCGAGGAGGGTGTAAACCGTAACCCAAAATCAACAGTACCTTGTAGGTAACGAAGTATCCGCTTCACTGCCAGAAAATGAACATCCAGTGGGGATTGCATGAATTGACACACTCTATTCACAGCAAACGCCACATCAGGTCGAGTGATCACAATGTACTGCAGGGCACCTACGATGCTTCTGTATCGTGTAGCATCTTCAAGTGGTGTTCCTTCCTTGGCTGACAGCTTGATGTTAGAGACCATATGGGTGGGAAGACTTTTCACTTCACCAAAGCCATGTTTCTGTAGAAGGTCTTGAATATACTTTTGTTGACTCAAAACAACATCACAACCTTTATAACTAACTTCCACTCCTAGGAAAAAACTCAATGGTCCAAGATCCTTCAACGAAAACTGAGCATTTAGTCTGTCTATAACACTTTGAACAACCATCTCTTTATCCCCTGTTACGATGATATCATCAACGTACACCAGTAAGTACACCAAGCTATCCGAGGTCTTTCGAACATAAAGAGAGGCATCCGACTTAGCTAGGCAAAAACCTTCAGATTCTAGGTATGCCTTCAGTCGCTCAAACCAGGCCCTCGGTGCTTGTTTCAGCCCATAAATCGCCTTGTGTAGCTTACATACCAGCTCACCATTTCCTTGCTCATACCCAGGTGGTTGAGTCATGTACACCTCTTCAGTGAGCAGCCCGTTCAAGAAGGCATTGTTGACATCAATCTGTCTCAGCTTCCACCCTCGTGACAATGCTAAGGAAATGATCACCCTAATCGTTGCAGGCTTAACCACTGGGCTGAAGACTTCATCAAAGTCAATTCTTGGTTTTTGGAGAAAACCTTTCATCACCAAACGTGCTTTGTACCTTGAAACCGAGCCATCAACATTTCGCTTTATTCGAAAAATCCATTTACAGTTTACTGCCTTCCTATCCCTAGGAAGAGGAACTAGAGTCCACGTGTCATTCCTCACCAGTGTATCATACTCTGCTTGTGCAGCTTCTTTCCAAAGAGGACTCATCAATGCCTCTGTGATATTAGCTGGCTCTTGATCTGAACTTGCAACATTATAAACTTTTGGCTTCCAGATTCCATGCTTACTCCTGGTCATCATGGGATGCACATTGGAGACTGGTTGTGGAACATCAATCCCCACTCCGGGTTGAACTTCAACGCACGTTTCTGTTGTACCCATCTCTTCTTGGACTCCATGTGAGCTGGCATCACTGTGATTATTATTTAAAATGGCCGCACTACTATTATTATTCAAATTTGAACTATGAGAAAGATTAAAGAATAATATCTGAACTATGAGAAAGAGAATGAGAAACAGAAAAGGAGAGAAGAAATATTCTGAATCTGTATTATATTCAAGGGGGTGAATTTTACAAATCTTAAGGAATGTATTTATATTGAGCAATACAGTCATAACTAATGATGTAACTAATCTTCAACAAACTTCAACAAACTAACTGTTTCAACTTGATTAGCTGCACAACCATCATACACAGCAGTAGTATGTGTGCTCATGTCCCATGCACAACTTCATTCATTTACACTAACATTAGATACTCTAATACACCGGCTTGAGCATTTACTGGTATTTTGCATCATTGCAGAATGCTTGGGATGATGTTCACAAGAACAAAACAGACAGCAGAGTTCAATCCGCTGGGCTTCCAGTGGACAAGTCGGACAGTGTAGTTCAATCACCGAGGCTCTCGAAGGACGAATCAGATAGGGTAATTCAATCCCCCGGGCTAGGAGCAAACAGATCAGAAAGTGAATTCCAATTGCCGAGGCTCTCGAAGGACAAACCAGACAGGGGAGTTCAACCCCCCAGGCTCCTAGTGAGCAAATCAGATAGTACATTTCCACCACCGAGGCTCACAATGGACAAATCGGATACTGAAGTTCAACCCCCTAGGCTTCCAAGTAGTGGGTGCGTTTCTTCATATCGGAGGGAGAGACCTCAATCACCTTTCCGTGGTGGAGGGTTTCTTGGCTTGCCTAAAGAAACTGAGAAATACAAAGCCAATATGATGGTTAAGTAAACCAGAAGCAATAACAACTCGCGGGAATTAGTACCGTGTCGAAGCACCAGACAAGACTCCGGTTCTCCAAGCCCTGCAGTTGAGAAAACGTTGTATGTAGATACTGTAAGTTCTGCTGAAACTCCTTGGATACCAAAGTCCAAATGGACTCCATTGGAGTGAACAAAGTGTTGGAAGAACCTGCTACCATGGATACCAAAAGCCTCAATCTTTTGGATGGAAAAGGCACATCGGAATGTGAAATTGCAGGGTCGGTGAAATCCAGTCAATCTTCTTTCTCCAACAATCCTGATCCCGGACAAAAGGGAGGACTGGATCCGGTATTTAAGTCCTTGGAGCGTATAAAAGTTAGAGCTGATAGAAATCTGAGCTACCCTGATGACGATGATGATTCGAAAGCAGCTGATGAAGCAAGTACCAGTTCCGATTACTCTCCTCTTCCACCTCCTTTGCCGAAAACACCATCGGAGTCTTGGCTTTGGCGTGCTCTGCCTTCGGCAAAATCATCTTCACAGTCTTACGATGGCACTCGTTTTAAACCGGAAAAACATTAACCTAAGCCAGCTGCTACTGATGCCAAGTGGGAAACAATTGTCAAAACTTCAAGCTTGCATCATGATCACGTCCGCTATTCCGAGGTAATCTTATCGTTCTTTAAACAAAGCTATCGTCTGCTCTGATGAGAACTTTATCTTTGTACATTCCTAACATTTGTGTCCATTACAGGAACTAGTAACTCCCTTTTCCCAGAAATCCAAAACTTAAGAAGAGAAAACACCAAGGGCATCATCGGATTCCTCGTACTAAACAGCAGTTTTGGTTTCGACATGGTCAGAGCTGATTAAGATTTTGCTGCAGCCTACCATTTTTCTCCTTCCACTTTCCTTCTATAGGCAACTAAATTTGTTAGCTCTCGTTGTTATATAAGCTTGTAATTTCGTTTCTTTTTCCCTATACATCAACTATAACTGCAAGCTGAGGTCACTGTTACATCGAAGTCAGATTCGAATTTTGTAATGGCCACAATTTTTTTTCCAACTTTTCTAGTTGGATGTGGTGCTTGTCTTGCTCCCAGAATAAACAGATTGTTGTGGAAATATATTGGATATAAAATGCTTGTTTGGGATAGAAGGAAACTTGGAATGAAACTGTATTCCTATATGATAGTTCGGGTAGGGTGCGTAGTGCGATCTTAGGTCCGGGACAGAACATCCCCAGCTCTTGTGCGTATAGCTTCCACCATGGTCACACCAAACCTTCCTGTTTCCTATGGCTCTAGGACAAGTACCTGGAAAGATCTCACTTGCTGCTCGATCTTAAGTACTCAACCTCGTTAAGCCTTGTCTGCAACATATTAAGATAGCAAAAGCGAGTGCCTGATCCCTTCTTGTCTTGACAATGGCTACCCTTGCCGTGATCAAATAATCCGATTCTTTGGCTTGGACTTAACTGAAAATCCGGTAACCATTCCCTTTTCTTGACCCTTTTATTCAAGAAATCTACCTGCACATGCTCTCGTGGGTCCAATTCTTCCATGGATTTGGTTCAATGATGATATTGCAGACAAGTTCTCAGCTTGTTTTCTTCATCATGCATCTCTACCATTGCTTTTTGCTAATACAAAATGATACATTATTGTAATGGCTCTTTATTGATTTCAACTGTCAAATCTGTTTATTTAACCTCCCTCTATGAATAATAAAAAGATATGCCAGTATGTGCAACCTACCAATTCCCAACATTAGTGTAAAAAACCTTGGACCCTTGAATTATATATATATATATATATATATATATGCAATGAATTAATCAAGACAATAATCCTATTGTTAATGATTGTCAAACCCCCATCATTTGTAGGTTTTAAATATTGTTTAGGTGTCAGATTTAACGGCACAAACTTATTGTACTATTTTCTATAGTATGTCTAAATTACGCAGACTATTTCCTACTCATAAATAAGAGGGTAATAAATGTTAAAGAATAGTCGAACTCATCAGTGAGTTGCAATAATGATGATATCAATCAAACTTATAATCAAGTTTAAACTACTGCCTCTCTCGATTCATCCCTTCATGCCCATGGATTCATATCTTAAAACTGCCCCACACAAAGCTGCTGCTCTGTAAACAGACTCAGACCTGATAAGATTGCAAGGAACAATTGTGAAACGGCATGCATGTGTATACTCTTATATGCATCTGTAAGCATGCATTATAATATTCTTGGCTTAAGATAACAAGAAATGCAAGTATGTATAAATGTTTGCATGCAAAATATTTTCGAGAATTGTGGTTTTTCATCTTAATAATATCCACAAGATGCATCATGAACACAATAATAACATGTTCAAGCTGAAGCAAAAGTTATCGTTTCATAATCATTTCAATTACTCTGAAGCAGTGTTATGATTGTCTGAAAAAGAACAAGTGAATAACCCTTTTGATAACGTTGAAGGTGACATACATAGAGCCCTCATCTGTTCTGTTGTTGCTGTGCTTTTTCCTTTGAATGTTTTCTGGACTACGAATTTTCATTTTTAAATATTTTCGAGAATTGTGGTTTTTCATCTTAATAATATCCACAAGATGCATCATGAACACAATAATAACATGTTCAAGCTGAAGCAAAAGTTATCGTTTCATAATCATTTCAATTACTCTGAAGCAGTGTTATGATTGTCTGAAAAAGAACAAGTGAATAACCCTTTTGATAACGTTGAAGGTGACATACATAGAGCCCTCATCTGTTCTGTTGTTGCTGTGCTTTTGCCTTTGAATGTTTTCTGGACTACGAATTTTCATTTTTATATATTTGTTCAAGTTTCAAGCAAATTTGTAACAGAAAGTAGAGAAGAGGGCAAATTACATGGACAAAACACATTAAGGATCGATTCTTAAACATCTCTTTTAGTCTTAAAAAATAAGATTATTGTGCAACTCTGGGTTAACCATCAGACCCTTTTGGCTATCCCTTGTCTGTCCCCATTTCCTCAGCTGAATCTGCAGCATGCAAGTCCCAGCAAGAAAATCCAGAGACTGAGATGGACTCAACACATCAAGAACACCTTTCAAGGTCTTGAGCCTCACACAATCCGCCGCTTTCATCACCCTCTCCATCCCCGCCAGTACTCCCTTCATCGCCACCGCCACCGCCACCAGCTCCTCGTTCCTCATCCGCCTCGCCATCCGAACCAGCTCGACTTTTTTCCGGTCAGCCATTGCCACTTGCTGCCTCTCCATTTTCCCCTCCACTTTCTCTTCCTCCAACTTTATCTTCACCCTCAACTGCTCTATCTTCCTCACTTGCTCCTCCGTCAACTCGGCCAAACCCGGTCCCGGCTCCCGAGTCCTCCTCATTGACTCGACGAGCCCGAATATCGTAGACGGCTTCCAACCCGTCAGCCACGAATAAGCATCCTCTAGCTTGCTTAACCAAACTGGGCAATAAAAGGCGAGCACGTCTTCATGCGCAGCCGCCCATTTGACAGTGTAGTATTCTTTGTAATGAGTGGTGAGTTTCGACACCAGAGCTTGTTTATCACCTTCCGTTGAAACTAGAGTACTCACTGTACTCTCCTTGGACACGTTCAGCAACTGTTGCAGGTACACATCGAGTTGGCACATCCACTTATCGTAGAACTCAGAGAATCGTTCTCCGACTTTACTCTTCATCGGAACAGCAGCATGCAAATGGATATGCAGATTTTTTTTTAAGGAGAAAGAGAAGGGTTTAATGGTGATGATGACATGAACCAATGTGAAGTCTGTGAGTGATTTTAAATTTGAGGGGGTTCAACCTTTGACTGGGTCGAGGAGTCATGCATGTGTCTCACCAGCTGGTGCTGATGTTGTTGTGTGGATTAACGTGTCGATGTGGGAAACAATCTTGCTTCAACGTGGAACTCCATTCCATTCACGTTTTCGTAACGACCTCTTTTCTTTTTGTGCTTTGCTGCTCAAAAATCTTGTCTTTGCCTCTTTGCTTGTATGTGTTTCATTTTAATTTTATTAATTTAATCATTTTATTTTTTAAATTTTTATCACATTCTTTTTTTATTTTTAATCTTCATTTATTCACACTTAATATCATATATTATAAATATTTATTTATAAAATTAACTCTCCTACTTCAATTTATTTCATTTATAACGTTAAGATTACAATCTTTAAATATTTAAAAAATCTCATATTTCATCCTACTATAAAAATTTTAATAGAGAGTACAATAGTTGAAATTAATTTTAAAACTTGCCCTTATTTTATCAAGTTTGGATCATTTTGATATTTGATAAAAATTAAAGAGTTAAATAGATGTAAAAAAAATTCAAAGAGTAACATAATTAAATGGATAAAGTTTGAGGGCCTAAAAAGTTATTCACCCTTTTTAGCGTGAGCTTGCTACGTATGCTTTGTGGTTCAATATGGAAACAAGGAAATCATTTCTCCATGACAAAACATGTGTATCTGCCTATTGCCTCAATATTTTCCAAGCATTTTTTTATTCAGAAAAATTCTTTATTTATTTTTAAAATTATTAGAAAAATGTTTCCTATCGTTAACATGTGACTTTTATGTTATTGTTTCCTCTAATTTAAAAGAAACAAATTTAAATAAAACGATATATTTCGGACCGATTCAAATGAGTTGTTTAATATACATAAACATTTTTTTATTATAGTTAATGTCAATTCTTATATAAAATTTTAATTTCAAATTATATAAATAAATATATATAATACTATAAGTCGTTTAATAGTTCGATAAATATTATAACTAATGATAAAATTTATTGTTTTTTAATAAGTTAAATTAAATATAAACGTGGAATTAATTTCTTGTTAGTTTAAATAAATATAAAATAATATATATTTAAAAGATTGTCGATCCTCTAACGATGAATACCCGAATATCTCTTAAAAATACACTCAAATTTAAAAATTTTAAAAATAATACCATTTTGCATGGCATTTGGCAAAGGGTAGCATCGACTTAACCATGTTTGCATGGGGTCGGGCACGTGGGGTGTGTGAGTGGTGAGTCACAGTTTTATTTTCCACGTGTCTTTGCATATTAATATTAGGCAAACCCAACTCATGACTTACACATGTTCACTCTCTCCTAATCTTCATTTCTACTAGTGAGAACTTGGTTGTGGAATTTAAATCTAAACTAGTATAATATTATTATATTAATATATTTTTATATTTTTTAATAATTAAATTATAATACTATATTTATTTAAAAATTAATTAATTAATAATACATATCATACTGATGTAATTAATATAATAATGCGTGACGAGTTCTGAAAAAATATAATTTTTTATTAAAATATGTTACATCCGAGTAATAAATTTTCATAAAAAATATATTTTATTAGAACTCATCATATGGGCATGACGAGTTTCAATACACTATAATAAATACGATAGATTGTAAATTAAATTTTTAATCACCCTAGAAACCTATATAATTATTACACCAGCATTAAAGGGCTAGGCTGATTTTGCCATGTTTTATTCCCTTTAACTGTATTTTAAATAAATAGAAATTAAATTAAATTAGTGTAAATTGAAAAATAAATAAAATATGAATTTAGTTTATTATGATTTAAGTAAATTAATATTTTACTTTAAAAAATATTATACATTAATCTTTAACTGATTTAAGAGATTTATATATAAATTTTATCATAGATATAGATGAACTTATTAAAAAATCATAGAAATAGATAAACTTATGAAAGTAAAAGAATATGTATAAAATTGAAAGTTAAAAACTATATGTATTATGTTAAATTAATGTGAAAAGGGATGTTTAATCCTTTTTATTAGAAGTAAGCACATGCTGTGTGTATTGTTTAGGCAAAAATGCCCCAATGGAGGAGTGAAAAAAAATTAAACTGGGGCGAGCATTAGGCCATCTCCAGCCCTCATCTCAACTCTACAACATCTATATCTCTACTCTAAAGATGAAACATTAATTCATATCCAATACTATCTCTACATTACCACCAACTCTACTTTATTCACAATATTTAACTATTAGTATGTTTATTTATCTAATTTCAATATATTTTTATCTATCTTGCAATTTAATCTACTTGAATTTATTATATTATGTTTAATTTTTATTTTATTGTGTAGAAATTACAATAAAAAAACATAAAAGATAGAATAAGAGAAAATAATGTAACAAAAAAAAGGAAATGAAAAAGAAAATAACAAAAGAAAGTAAAAAAAAAACAAAAATAAAAAATCATATAAATAACAAAAAAAATGTAGCGTAGCTACAGTGCAACTCTAGATGTAGGGTATCACTGTAACTTTCTCTACTCTAACGTTGAAAGTGGAGATGGGCTGGAGTTAAAATTTATCTCCAAAGTGGAGATTTTTTCTATTCTAACGATGCTCTAGAGATGTCTTACTTGAGAAAATCATTTTTCCTATTTCACTACTTGGGTGATTTTGCCGTATTATTAATGAATCGGTAGTGTCCAAGTGAATATTGAATAATGCATGGAATCTCTTTGGTTGTCATATAATGGAAGCTATTTTAGCCATTTCCAGATTTGGTAAGCACATTGGCACTGTCGCTTTTAAACAAGAAATTCCAGACCAGAGTAGGAACTAACGAATTATTTGCTTTGCTGTTTAAGGTTTCTACAGCTTGTTCAATCAACAGTGTCAGATTTTTGTTAGCAACTTCCAAGGCAAGAAGGTTTTCCCTGGCCGGCCGCTGTTGCCGACGTGTTTTACCCATCGGAAAAATAATGTCTCCACCTTTTGGCTGAGGTCGGCTTCCGGTAACCTCCGTTGCACGCCTTCTTCAACCTCCGCCTGACAGGGTTGAGCACAACTATGGTTGTCGAGATAAACCCACCAACAAGGCTTTGGTTCCTTGATATACCGTGGCGCTATCAGTCGACATCACCCTTGGAATGAAGATCGATTGCTATAAAAAAACAAACAATTCTAGCATGCCGTATTGCTCTTTTTAAACTTTTGTCAAGTCATTAACCTCCAAAAGAAAGAGAAAAGGGTTTCAACTCAATCTAAGGATTGTAATAATGACAACAGAGGACCACATTCGTTAATGTCACAACAATGCCACATAAGTGGCTAGATTGTACAATTGTCTAATCGCAACAAAATCCAGAGGCTAAATTTGAACTGAATTGACATCAACGATTAAACGATGAATCAAATGTTAAAGTTTATTTGTTCCCCGTCCTTATCTATCATCTTCCTTTCAACTATCTTCAGCTTGTAAAAATGCAACACGCCATTAAAACACACTATTCTGGAACTTAACGGTGACGTTCGAGTGATTAGACATAACATGCGATTTCTAGCAAGAGAGTATAATCATTTGAACACATGATGTCAGATTTTGACACGCAATTGTTTTATGAGACTGAAAAGATCAAATTCTAGTTAATTGAAGTAGAGAGATTAGTAGTACAACAACAACAACAACAACAACAAAACCCAATTCCCATATGTATGGGGTAAGGGGGAGGTAGGGTAGTAGGCTACCCCCAACGCCAGGTTGAGAGTAGCTTCCGTGGAAGACCTCCGGCAGTCAGAAAATTAAAAATTTAGATAAAATGCAATGCATGTATAAATAAATACATAAATACATAGCTAATCAGTATTCATATGCAGTCATTAAAATCATATGTGCGTCTGTAACTGGAATTTATCCCTGCATAATAATCCCTGCGAAAGAATCTCTGCATATAGACAGAAACATAAGATCCGGCTAATTTAAAAGAGGAAACATGAAGAGAATGATACACAGAAGTCAACGTTAGCAAGCCCAGTTCTAATCCTTCATAAATACCAATAACAGAAACGTATTAAAAATATAAGTCATGGAAAATACTACAAAGACATTAAAAGAAGACAGAGATGATACACCCTATAGATGTGACCCACACTACTCGACTACCCTAGTCTTTAGCCTCCATATTTTCCTATCAGAGGTCATGTCTTCGGTAAGGGCTAAATCCCTCAAATCAGATCTCAAGCAGTCTTCCCACTTTCGCCTTGGTCGTCCTTTCCTTCTGGCACCGTCGACTGTAATCGACTCTACCCTCCTTACCGCATCCGACGGTAGTCGCCTAAGGACATGCCCAAACCACCGTAGTCTTCCCTCCCTCAATTTTCGGAAACAGACACCACCCCCAAGGACATCCTAATAGCAGAGTTTGTCGTCATATCCCTCAGTGTCCTACCACATGTCCATCGAAGCATTCTCATTTCTGCGGCCTCAATCCTCCTCACGTGATCCTTCTTGGTTGCCCAACATTCTGATCCATACAACAGCGCTGGTCTTATTGCCATTCTATAAAATTTTCCCTTAAGTTTTAGAGGGACCTTCTTGTCACACAGAACTCCAGTAGCGGCCCTCCACTTTAGCCATCCCGCCTTTATACGGTGTGAAACGTCATCATCTACACCCCCATCTTTATGTATCATAGACCCTAGGTACTTGAAACAATCCTTTGAGGGGAGAACGTGTCCTTCTATGCATACTTCTACATCTTCATCATTTTGGTTCCCATTGAAGTTTGAACATACATACTCTGTCTTTTCAATATTGATCCTTAAACCTTTTTCTTCCAAAGCAGTCTTCCAGGTAGCCAGTCTACTATTCAACTCAGATTTTGTTTCAGCAACTAAGACAATGTCGTCAGCGAAAAGCATACACCATGGTACACCGTCTGGTGTCGCACAATAGATGTCGTCCATAATCAAGGCGAAGATGTAAGGGCTAAGAGCCGACCCCTGGTGGAGTCCGATTTCCACCGGGAATGCCTCGGTGTCGCCAACTGTAGTCCTGACGTAAGTAGTAGATCTACAGTACATATCACGAATCGCCCGGATATAAGCAGTTGGGATCCGTCTAGTTTCCAAAGTCTTCCAGATCGTATCGCGGGGAACACTATCATAAGCCTTCTCAAGGTCAATGAACGCCATGTGAAGATCTCTAGACTTTTCCCTATATTTCTCCATAAGCCGTCGAAGTAGATGAATCGCCTCCGTTGTAGACCTGCCTGACATAAAGCCAAATTGGTTTTCCAAATTAGTAGTACAGATTCTATGTAAATAGACCACCTACATTATCAAGTCTTATCAACTTTCACCTATTAAGGGTTGATATTGTACCCGGAGTTTGTCCTACCTGTGCTTATCTAGCAAAACAATGAGTGATCACAGGAAACTCATATCTAAGACCTGAAGTATAAAGATGGGCAGAAATTACCATTAAGAGGTGAAAATTGAAAAGTGTTGCATGGTTATGCTAAAAACACATCGAATTCCAAATCCCCAAACCTCTAAAACAGCTGCTTTGCCTTTTCTTCTCTGAATCTATGGTCCCAGATTTTCCCAGATTTGGTTTTAGTTCTGATATGATAAAACTAACAAAAACTACCAAAAACTCTGTTGTCAGCAGCTCATACTAAACTCAGCTGGTTACAGTCTGTCTTTTTTTCTTCCTTGTATTACCACAAGGGAATCATCAGATGATACCACTACATTAGAAATGAAGTTCGAAATTTACTACTATACAATTATTTCGATAATGCAACATTATTGAATGCTATGGTTATATGAATAGTTAAGTTCAACAAATCTTGATTCTTTTTCCTTCTGAAAACTTATTATTCAAATTCTCTTCTAGTTTGTGATTAAAGCTTCTGATGTTAGAGTGGAGTTCATGGATCAGATCATATATACTTGCCAATTGCCATAATTGCAAGTGATTTAAAATAAAAAATAGACCAAAGTTGAATAGAAATTTCCATGCTAGATGCCAATACAAAAATTTCGAAACACCATGCATCATCAATTCATTTCACAATAAAGTTGGATGGGAATATATACAAGACAAACAAACAAAATACAAAGATTAGTAGAAACATGTATTCAATTCTCTGTAATCTAGTATATTCATCTCGATACAAGAAGATATATCATGTCATCTAAAGCAGCTTCTAGGTAGCACAACAAAAACAATAACACAAAACAAAGAGAGGGAGAGAGAGAGAGAGAGAGAAAAGTATCTCTTTATGATACAAAAGAAGATAAAGAGAAAGGTTACCCTGTTCCCTTCATCTCCTCTTTCTATTCCGTATCCGAAGGAAAATATGATGCACCAGCAGGCGATGCTGCCGCAGATGATTCTGATAAATATGATGCACTGACAGGTGATGTTGCGGCCGATGATTGCGATTGTGATTCCTCAACCATCAATTTCTCTAACCCGGGTTTCAGTTCCCTGTTACAGAAATCCTCATACTCTCTTCGTTCCCCTCCTTTCTTCTTCACTTCGACAACAACCAAAGAAGGCGTTAACTCGAATATCTCAGCTGCAATCGACAATGGCCCTTTGGCTCCTTCTCTAGATCCCTCCAAACTCAATCTACAATCCTTTTTCCTCACTGTGAAACTAACCAACTGCGCTATCTCCTCCAATTTCGATATGATTTTCGAAACCGGCGCCCCCGAAACAATCCGGGATCCTTCCTCTCCTTCCTCAAACAACCCGGATAAATTGAACCCCGGGGAGAACGAAATAAGATCAAACGCATTTAAACTAGCTGGTCTCGGCAATGTGGCAGGTTTCCTTCTAGTTTCCATCTCTGTTTCGGATTCAGACATTGATGACTCTGAGCACACATCATTATCATCCGCCTCAAAGCTGCATAATTTATCATCTTCAATGTAAAATTTAATATGTTTAAACCCCTTTTTAAACCAACGCTTCTCCATGATTTCGGGAATCGTCATTCTCGTTTCCGGGTTCGTGTCCAGAAGCTTTGTGAGTAACCGAGCTAACTCAGGTGAAAACCATCTCGGACACTTGAACTCACCCTTGTATATCTTCTTATACATAGCCATAATGTTCTGATCTTGAAACGGTAAATACCCTGCCATTAGAACAAACAAAACTACTCCGCAAGCCCAGATATCTACTTTCGCTGCATCATACCCTTTCCTTGCCAAAACTTCGGGTGCCACGTAAGCGGGTGTCCCGCAAAACGTATGGAACAAACCGTCTTGCCGGATCTGATCCGAAACCGCGCTCAACCCGAAATCGGATACCTTCAAATCGCCGTTATCATCAAGGAGTAGATTCTCCGGCTTCAGGTCGCGGTGATAAACGCCGCGAGCATGGCAGAAATGGACGGCAGAGATTAATTGCTGGAAGTATTTTCTTGCGACGTCCTCTTTCAAACGGCCTTTGGCTACTTTATTGAAGAGCTCACCGCCGCGGACGTATTCCATTACGAAGTAGATCTTGGTTTTCGTCGCCATGACCTCGAAGAGTTGCACGATGTTCGGGTGTCGCACGCGGCGAAGGATGGAGATTTCGCGCTTGATGTGAGCGATTAAGCCGCTTTTGAGGATCTTCTCCTTGTCGATCACTTTGATGGCCACGCTGTCACCGGTTTTGACGTTGCGCGCGTGGTACACTTTCGCGAAAGTGCCGTGGCCGAGGAGTTTCCCGACCTCGAAGCGGCCTAACAGAAGAGCTTGACCGCCCCTCGCGGCGTCTTTCTTGGCAGAGGTGGCGGCGACGGAGATGGAATCCATTGGTCGTAGATGTTAGGGCTTTGGTTTAATTGAGAGTAAAATGGAATTTGAATGGCTTAATGATTTGTCATTTGAAGAGCTGAGAAGATCCTTTCTGTTTTGAGTTGAGTGAGTGGCCTAAAAGAAATTGAATTTGTTACAAGGTTATGGAAGGCAGATGCTTTTACTGTGGCAGCGAATATACTCCCAATAAAAAAATGTTTTATTGGTAGAGTTAAAAATTATTAAATTTATTTAATCACCAGATTATTCATCTAAATTTAAATTTTAAAAATAACATGATGATTATATTATCGTAATAATATTATTTTTAATTTTTTATTAAAATAATAACTAAATAATATTATTGATTTAAATGATATCATTTTAATGAAGGCGTGTTATATAAGAAACGTCTTTCAAGAAAATGCATTTTGTTGGGTATACCTTTAATTACATGATATTTTTAAACAATTTTTTCTCACGTTGGTATCTTTCAAGACAAAAATGAAATAAAATAATATGATTTTTTTAAATATACGAGTTTTATTAAAAAAACAAACAATGCACGTGGTACGTGTCTTTGACACATATTTGCAAGAGCACGAGTCAATTGAATGATAAGAACATATGTGTATAGGTTTTGTCTTCAATCACTGTATAAATATATGTTTAGAAAGATATATTTAAACACTTCAAAAAAAACTCTTTAAATATAATGCGAGTTTTGATAATATTGTGATAAAATTTATTGATTTTGAGCTGGATTTTCAAACTAAATTAGATTCATACAAGTGCAATAGTCAAAGATAAAATTTAATATTTGTATTTAGAGTTAAATTAGATTTGTGAGACATAAAGTGTGTTAAATATTATACATAAATTTGTCTTAAATTTAATCTCATGGTTAATAAAAATTATAGTGCATCTTACAATTTTTTAATAGATGTCACTGATTTTATTAAAAAAATAAAAAATAAAAAATATAATGAATGTTTACAATCATGGGCGTAAACTAAATATATAGTTAGGATGTTTTCATATAATCATTTATATAAAAATTAGTCACTTGAAATTATACAATGACCAAACAAGGAAAATATTAAAAAATTATCCCAAAAAAACTCTAAGAGAAGATAGATACGAACATACCTAACACATCGACAAACAAATCACAACATGAGATGAAACTATTAAAGATCACTAACAATCCCAAATCAGAATTAAATGTTGTGAGAAAACTATCAACAAATACAAATTATATATTCAAAACCAATCCAATGATTTAAAGCATTGAAGATCGATAGGATAATAAATAAATATCATTGTGACCAATTCAAATAATATCAAATCAAACCCTAAGAAAATAAACAAAACAAATCAGATAATAAAAATTTAAAATGTATTAAACGATAAAGAAAAATATGTCATAAAAATAATTAGAATTTTTTTGAAAAACATATATGCAACAATAAAACAAGTAAAAGAACAACAATAAATATCGATAAGTGGTCATCATCACTGAACTTAGTTTCATCACCTACCAAACAAATAATGAAAAGAGAAAAATGGCACCAATGCAGGGCAGACCCAAGACAAAAATTCAGGGGTTGCAAGAGTCCAGGAGTGACACTTTTGAGGGGTGACACTTGTATTAGGAGTGACACTTGTATTAATTTTGAGGGATTTCTACATAGACTTGTTGTTGGAGAAGAATTTTGAGGGGTTACCTGGGATACCTAGGGTACCACTCAGGTCTGCCCCTGCACCAATGATCGGGGGACTAGAGAGACTTATCTAAATTTCACCTTATTTGATTTTTTTAAAACTATTCTAATCTAAGTAATATGTATGTATCATTTCTCTTTCCAATAACTATAAGACTGAATATATTTGAATTAATGTGTCAATACAACTTAATTATAAAATCAATAAAATTATTGATATATAAATTTATATTTAATCTTAAATGTATTATAATTATCATTTTAACTGCCTATTAATACTCCAAAATTTACTTTATTAAAATAAATCTCGGCAACCTATTTTGGTGTAGTGAGCATGAATTGCTTTTTCCCTTACAAAACAAAATATTTCATAATTTTATATATAAAAGCTATGATGACGCTAATTATGATGATTCTTTTTTCCCTTTTACAATTGTAGTCGTGATTTAATAATATAAAGGAAGAAGAGTAGTGCAATGGGAGGCATCTACGTGGGAAAATTAACAAAGGAGAGAGACGCCGTGACAGCTCAACAACAACTTGAGTCGACACAGCCGATTTCAATGCAACTTGAGGGGTATGATTGTCATAAAAGTGTGCACAGTTTGGTTACACCCCACTTTTACACTAACCTAATCTTTCCAACCAAACAAAATGAATGCAACCTTGTCCGGTTGCCACGTGCCCCTTCATTAATGGTGCTTATGTGGACACATTCACAGTATGTTGGCATTTCTCATTTCTCTCACTCATGTAGGGATGGGCATGGTATCTAAACTTGACAGATTATGATCTGACCCGATCGAGTTAGATTTTTTTTTAAAAAAATTGGATCGTTTTTTAAATGTGATGTTCGGGTTGTTTTTTAATCGATTTAGGGTCGGGTCATATTTTTTAAATGTGATGTTCGGGTCGGGTCAGATTCAGATTTAGGGTAAAAAATACCCGATCCGCCCCAATCCAAAAAAATATAATTTTACTTTATATATTTAAGAATAATTACAATAATACATCTCTATATATTATTTTTTTCAATTAAATCACTGTTTTTATTGAATAAAAATAATATTTTTATTAATATTTCGAGTCGAGTCGAGTCGGGTTCGGATTTTATTTCAAAAAATCATATCTATGTCGAGTCGGATTCAGATTATATTTCAAAAAATCATATCTATGTCGAATCGGGTAGATGATATATATTTTTCGGGTCGGATTAGCCGAAACCCGACCCATGCTCATCCCTACTCTCATGACCCCAGTATCTAGTAGTTTTTGGTATTTTATTTTTAAAATTTTGAAAATTTGAATTTAATAGAAATAATAATCACTAGAGCTTTTAAATTGATTTTAGTATTAGTTTATGTAATGGTAATAAATTATAGGTTTACTTCTTATTTTTCTAATTGGACCATTTTAAGTTCCTGTATAATATAAAGATTAATGATAAAATTTAACCGATACTTTATATAAAAGTAAAAATCAAAATTTGATAAGCCATCCAGCTCAGTTGGTAGAGCACAAGGTTCTTAACCTTGAGGTCGTGGGATTGAGTCCCACGGAGGGCATTTCATAATTCGGAGGTCTCTTACGGAAGCTGATCTCAACCTGGTGTTTGGGATAGTCTACTATCTTACCTCCCCTTACCCCATATATATGAGAAAAAGGGACAGACATTTTTTTATTTAGACTAACTAACAGCAATACAAAATTAGAGAGATCAAATATTTGTGTAAATAAATATAGATTTAATGAACTGGATGTATTAACATATTTTTATATGTAGTAATTAGATTGGTTTTTATTTTCGAGGATATAAAATTTTATATAAAATAGTCAAATAATCATATCAAAATCAAATGCATAGGTTTACATCAAATGATTAAAATGGGTTGTGATGGTTTTTTTCATCAATTTGAATCTGATTTGAATATTATATTTATCTATTTATTATTTAACTTGATTTAAGATTAGGGAGATCTTATTCAATCCGTAGTTTAATCCGCTTTTGAGAATAATTTTTTTTATTCTCAACAAAGGGCTGACAACAAGGCTATTGTGATATCGATACTTCTGGTATCAACAAATCCTATTTATCTAGCTTGAGTATCGATACTTTCATGAGTATCGATACCCAATTTGACTTTGATACCTAAGTATCGATACCACTATGAGTATTGATACCAAAATTGGCTATTGGAATCTATTAAGTGAACTTGGTATCGATACCACCCTACAAGTATCAATGCCTTCCTACAACTATCAATGCCTTACCTACATTATCGATACCCGTCGCATGAGTATCGATACTTCTAACCCCAAAACTCATTTATTTTTATTATCTAAAGAACATTATGGGTATTATTCTTCTAATACTCATACAATTGCCTAGAAATACCCTATTTTGGGTATAAAAATAGCTCTCCAACACTCCCTAATTCCTACTAAGGTCCCTAAACGTTATTAAAGTGTTGTTTCTAATTATAGGGGGTCATAAAAAGTCTATAAACATGCTGAAAACACCCAAACACTGAATGAACATGCTTCGTGACTCATGTAAGCTAACAAACTCACCTAGTGATCTACAATATAGTAGAGTTGAGTTAGAAGTGAGTTGCCTTGATTTTCTAAGCTGCTGAAAGTGTCCAAGGCTCAACCAAGTGTTAGTTTTTCCTTATCTTTAACCTTGGAACTTTCTCCAACTTTCCTCAATAGACAAGAATCAAACACTTGAGTTACTAGTTTGATCTAAAGGTTAAGAAGGGTTTAAAACTCTTCCTAAGGCTTAAACTCTCTGAAAACAGATTGAAACACTTAAGTTACATAAACCCCCACAAAACCATAATTTGGCTACCATGGTGAAATGAAGAGGTTGAGGGCTTGATTTAAAGCTCTGAAGTTGAGGATTAAGATTTTACATTTAAAATGCCAAACTACGGTTGCAAGGCCACCAAGTTATCACATTTGTTGGTTCTAGGTTGAGATTAAAATGAAGGATGAAGAATGAGAAGAAGAGACAAAGAAGAGTTAAGAAAAAGAGATTGTTTCAAAGGTGTTCTCATCAGTTTTTAATGGAAATCAACCTTTCTAACTAAATATGGTATAATTGTCTCCTTGGTCCTCCTAACTTTGGATACAACTTAAAATACCTTTGTTGACATCCATTGGTCACCAAACAAGCCCAAACCAATACCCATTTGGACCAAGCTTTCACACAAGGCTAATGGCTTACTTTAAACTCACTCGGTCTAACTCAAAACTACTAACCCATGATTTGTGGCATTAGAACTCTCCCCTCCTAAAAAGAAATTATATCCTCAAAATTTACCTAAATAAAAGAGGTGAGGGTATTGGTTGTATATCCTCCTAGGTTTCCTAAGTCACTTATT